AGCTATAGAAAGCCTAGCTTCTTAACTCTTTATAACCTACACTACCTGCGCTAGGTTCTAAGCAGACTTTAAAATAGCCTTAAAAGCCTTTTTTTTGTCCTTTTTACTCTCTATGTTTTAGGCTGCTGCCTATAGCTTAAGATAGCTTTAAAAGACTAGAAATTTCTTTTTATAATATAAAAAAACCTACGCGCGCGTTAGTAAACTATACCCTAGCTATATTAAACTATATTTATATAAAGTTGCATTTTTTATTATGTAAAGTGTAATACTTGCATTTCTTTAATCTAAAGAACTAAAAAGAGAACTTAACCTAAAAGCTATAAGCTAGGGCGTAGGCAGCCTAAAAGCAGATAACTTAAAAGGCCTTTAAAAAGGCTTTAAAAGAGAGGCAGAGCAGCATAGTAAATTTCTTTAATACTATAATTAGTTAGTAAACTAAGCTATAGGATGTTAAGTGCATAATAATACTTACAAAGTAAAGATTTAGATAATAGCTAAAAAAGAAACTAACAACATTAACTAGACTATATAAGTAAAGTAAGCAAACACTTATTACTATAAATAATAAATTTACTATATTAATAATAACTACACTGCTAGTTACTACTAAACAAAAATATTATAATAAAGGCATTATATTAGTATTAGGTTTTTAGTTTATTTCTTAGTAATAAGAAATTTTAGTTAAGATAGTTGTACTTATTATATTTTATCTAAATTAGTTTTAAATTAGTTCTAAATATTTTCTACACACTATAGATAAAGACTATTAGCCTATAAAAAGAGAGGTAGTGTAACAATTCTATAAATTATTCTATCTTAGGTTGCTTAGATTCTATCTAAAGGGTCCCTGTATTAGCCCTAACTATGACTTAACCTAGTCTCTTGCAGTTACCTCTATTCCTGCATGTATTTAGTTGCACCTTGCCCCTGTAGCTAGCTTAGTAGTTTTCTAATATCCTACGTACAAGGCCTATAGGTGTTATTAGTATTCCTAGGTCTCTGAGTCCCTACGCACTCCCATATGCCTCTGAGTGGATTCATACCGCATTTGGACCCATTGTCTTGCCTGCGCCGTTACACATATGTAATAATGCTAAGAATAAGTTAAGTAAGTTTATGTAAGCTTGCTAAGCGCGACTTTATAAGCTCTCTTAGACTTATTCTATCCTCCTAGCTCGCCTTCCTATTAGATAATGCATTCTTCTATAACTGCAGGCAGCTGTGCTGCCTCCGCATCTTCCGACTAGTCTGTAGACGAGCCCTGCCCCAACCTAGCTAGATTGTGGAGCACCTCGGGTGGAGTTACGTTGGTCCAACTATAGACTGTAACAATCTACACTATTTTTCTTTTTCATGTTTTTTATACCTATTATTATAAAGTGTTACTTTTATAATAAAATTTTTAAAAGTAGTTAGTTTTTTATTATGTGTAAATTTATTCTTTATTATGTCTTTTAGACTGTTATAGAACATCCTGTAAAAAGCTTTCTAGTCTATTTATCTACAAATTACTAACTGTTCTTTAAAGTGTGCTGCATAATGTTATGTAGTTTTTTTTTCTTATTATAGTGCGTCTAGTTTATTAGCTGCAATTTTTTATTTATCTATAGTTTTATATATAGCAGTTAGGGCTTCTTTAAAGGCATCTACACTACTAAATATTTCTTTAGTTTTAGAGGTTAGTAAGGTGCTATTTACTTTAAAGTCTATTTAATTATCTACGTGTAGTTAGAACTAAATTATAGAGGGTTCTTTTAAATGTAATCTTATTTATAATATTATTTCTATATTAGTCTAAAATGCTCCTCTGTTATATTACATGTAGAAGTAGCATTTAGTAAAAAAAAAGTTAAAAGTTCTTAGGTAATTCTCTAAAAAGCTTTAAAAAAGCTAGTCTTAAAGTCTTTTTAGCCTTAATACTTTCTTTTTTAGTTAATATATTTTAGAGTTTTACTAGATTAACTTACAGCGTGTAAATTTATAAAGTAGCTACTTTAAAAGTTATTAGCATAAGTTAGTTATTAAGTTAGATTATTTTCTAGTGTAGAAGTTTTACTTTTTTATAGAGACTAACTAGTTTACTAATCTTATTACTAATCTGCTAAAGTTTCTTAATGTTGTCTTAGATACTGTTAATCTGTTCTGCTAGGACTCTTTTATTAGCTGTTAGAACTTCTAATAATCCTAATAAAGCTGCATAAGCTATGTTAGAATTAAAGTTATATTAAAAAGTTATACTTTTTAGAAGTGCAGTGTTTAATGTTATAATCCTTACTTTGTAGAAGCACACAGGTTAATGTTGTCCCTAGGGTGTAGAGCAGAGGGCAAGGGGCTAACAGTAGGGTGTACAGTCCTACGTAATAGCTACTAGGCTAATAGAGTAGAGTAGAGTAACTAGATTATAGTTTGTCCTTATAATAGTAGTATAGTGTAAGGACGGGGCTCCGCACCACTCCGCCAATACAACCAAAAGGTACGAATAATCAACCAACGTTGATTTTCGGGTGCAGAATAGTATATATACCTGTCGCACGTAAGCGCCATCTCGGCCTTACATATAGAGGCTAGGTTAAGCAGTCCTATTAGATATAATTAGAGGTATATATGTTGCAAGATATATAAATAGTATTACAGCTCTTTAGAAAGCTAGAATGCTACGTAGTCTATATAAAAAATAAACTAAACTTTAAACACACCTTCTAAAGGTGGTTTAAGGTTAGAACTATATACATGTCTAATAGCACTAAGAATAAGTTAGTGTAAGTTCTCTTAAGCTTCTATTACTAACCTTTAGTAAGCTTGTCTAAACTCGCGCTAACTCCTTAGCTTGTCCTTCTTACTAGACAATGCATTCTTCTGTAATCCTAGGCAGCTGTGCTGCCTCCACGTCTTCCAATTGGTCTGTAAACGAGCTCTGTCCTAACCTGGCTAGATTGTGGAGCACTTCTGGTGGAGTTACGTGTAAGGCCGAGATGGCGCTTACGTGCGACAGGTATATATACTATTCTGCACCCGAAAATCAACGTTGGTTGATTATTCGTACCTTTTGGTTGTATTGGCGGAGTGGTGCGGAGCCCCGTCCTTACATTACGTCGGTCCAACCATAGACCGTAACACTGGACTTACACTGCATGTAATTAGAAGCTGTAGCATACTATAGAGTACATATTATACTTTTTAGAAAGTTAATTAAGAACTTGCTTAGCTCTCTAGCTATACCTTCTTGCATCTACTAAAAGTTTTTTTAACTATTGAGTTTACACAAGCAGTTAGAGTCTTAACAGCTAGTTTATAACTAACAATCTGCGAGATTTTGTCCCTGTGTGTCACGATGGGCATGCTCAAGCTACAAGCAAGAGGTGGTGTAACCCAACTAGATTAAACTAAGGAGTAGAGGAGCTGCTCTGCGAGTTTAAATATACATATGTGCCCCCTGCCAAGGCGCTACTTGTTGCACCAAGGCGCTACTCGTTGTGCAAGCGAGAGAGCTTAAGTCGCAGAGCATATGACGCGGTACCCGCCGTCATACCGTGTGCACGAACGACTTTTCCTAATACAATATGCGCTAAGAGCTCTTTCCAGGCACTTGTTTTTGGTCTTTAGATACGGACTGTTATTTGTTTTCTACCCTGGACACCATCAACGGGTCCAAACCAGCACCACCACTTACGGCTACCGCTGAGGCAGATGCAGTTGCACTCCAGGTCCAAGGCCTCGAATCAGGGCAACATCTAAAGACAGGATTCTACAGAAGACAGAGGCTAGTAAGAAGAAGAGTACAAAGTCATCTCAGAAGGCTCCTGAGGGTGGCTTAAAACACGACTTCGTAAGGTTCTGCCCGTTGAGTGTTCAACAGCTAATTTGACACTTTAGCGAGTCTACTCCTACAGAACCAAACTCGATTTCTTCCCTAATCTTAGTATACTGTATCAACTCTATCGGCTCCGGAATTGCTATGCCTTTGATGAACATAGTCTTCGGTTTGTTTCAAGACGGTCCTAATCGGGTTTGCAATGGTGCATAGACCCCAGGCGAACTGGTTTAAAGTTTTGCAAACTACTTCCCAGAAGGCACGACAGTGACGCAAGCTGAATTCTAAGCTGAAATTAACGAATTGGCACGATAAATTGTCTATCTGCTCATCGGCAAGTTTGTGTTATCTTACATTCCATTGGTAAAAATGCGGGTTCCATGCTCTTCAGCTCTAGCCTTAGTTTCCAAAGTCTAATTCTTATTTGGCTGTTGTCAATAGTTTCCACTTTAGCACCCAAATCTTGACTGTGACTACCCTGTCTGTCCGCACCCTGCATCCGGCTTCAGAATGGCTCTTCTCAACATATGCTCCTCAACTACCCTGAGACGAGAACCTGTTCACAGCCGTAGTGCTTACGTATAGTCCAGTTATAGTGCCAATGCGGCTTAGAGAAAGTAAATGCGGACTTCAAGGACTGTCTTCGCATGAGGGTGCGGGAGAGAGGATCCGTGCTCTCAAGGAGTTGAAAGGACGACAAGCTCGTGAACGTGCTTACCGGGAGAGGCAAAGTGAAAGCGTCAGAAGTGGAGCACCCATTTTCCGCTAATTACTAGTCTCCGTCTGTTCTGCCTCCCCAACATTTAACCTCTACCTCGAAGAGAAAACGCTCACTGGAGAACAAGCCAATTGAATTTGGTAAAAGCGCGCAGAGTACCCTCCATGGGGCGATTCCTCTCTCTCCTGACTGCTATGCATAAATATTCGCCCTGGTATCCTCATCATCACCACCTTCAGAACACATAATGGCCGGCCTTACGCCCGACAGCTCTTGGAAGCGTCCAGCTGAGCAGCCCACAGCTCTTGGAAGCCAGGGTCAATCCTTCCCATTGGTCCAAGGCGGCCCCAATTTGACACTCCCTCGCCAACACAGTACACCCAAGGCGTTTTAGCCCCATGAAATAACCGCTGGCTTAGTTATCACCATAAGCGGCTGCGGCACAGCAGCCTCAATCCGATGCACCGAGCTTCCTGATTCCTGGGATGCGGTGATAGCTTTTTTTGTGCGATCGTCGTGTTCCTTCTCTTATTCCCGTCAGCGCCGTCATTTTCCAATTTCTTTGCTCTTCTTTCATTTCATTGCTGGTGTGCTTTTATGGGGCACAAGTCAATTATGACCATTGGATATTCAGACTTGGAAGTTGCGCCGCAAACACCATCGACAGGGCCAGTACCGATCAAAGATCATTCTGCAGGCCTCATAGTGGAGAGTAACGATACGCACAAGATCGCAGGAGAACCATATTATTACGACCCAGACAACAACCTCCCGCCATATTCGCAAGAAAAACCGCGGCGAATATGCGGCGCCGAACGAAGAACATTCTGGATCGTCCTCGCGATCATCGCTGTGCTAATAACAGCAGCGGCAGTAGGTGGAGGAGTCGGAGGTGTGGTATCAAAAAACAAGTCCTCGACACCTAGCTCCGCACAAACCACAACTCCCTCCTTGTCATCCACGTCGCAAATCTCGACAGGCTCAACAACCCCCACATCTACATCTACAGATATTAGAAGCACGACAACGCTTATCGGCCCAACCCGCACCCTCGCCCGCGACTGCCCATCCGCCAACAACTCCATCTACGACATCAGCTATGGTTCTTCCTCCACAATGTCGTGGCGCAAGCTATGTAATATGAACTTCCGGTCCGTAAAACGCACACCCGCGAACCCAGACAACGTTGTCAACACGGGCACCAAGAGTTTAAACGACTGTATCAACCTCTGCGCATCCTGGGATCAGACAAATCAGACACTAATCAAGAGTGGGAAAGCGTTCGTGTGTAATGCCGTGTGCTGGATTAATACGTTGGATGCGGATTTGCCGGGTCAGTGCTTTGGGTTTACGACGCAAAATGATACGAGTGGATTTGTGGTTGATGAGACACGGAAATGCGATACAGCGGCTTGGATTAATCAGTCCTTTGGTTGATACCATTGTTGTTTACTCTTTATGTGGGCGTCGGTTTTTGTGGGCGAGCGAGGGCGGGCTGTTTGGTGCACGCCATGCATTCCTAAAGGCGGCGTTATCGGGGTTCTGAATGGCAGCTAAATATACAAATATACATTTTCGAATCTCGCAACACTTTCTAAAGAATGCAGGGTCGAATCCGCCTTCTGCGGAATCAGTTATTTTCATTCATCCCCCCAAATCCACTCCTCTCTACTTCTTCATTACCCAGGTAACATTACAAAGAAGCTCCCACACTTCCGATCTGCAATCTAATCTTATCTCCCCATTCGCCATTCCTTCACCCTGCCCGCGCCACATCAGAGCCGCTTTTACGTCCCAGAGGAATTAGCCCGTAAATCCTCCTCCCACACTTGGAGCGGCTGTACAATACATCTAGAATCCTCTGCCACCACAACCTAGCTAGATTCAGGTCCGCATCCTTCAAGCATGTGGCTTGTTTTACCATGGTTTGTTTATTTTTGACGGTTATTTGTGTTGGGAAAAGAGATAACTATGTGTGCTGCGGAAGAGACGCTTGGATGCATAGTCGGCTGTTTCAAATATGCCTGGATATTCGGCTCTCAAATATAGAGCCGATTCCGTGGAGATCAAAGACTGAGATTGAGAAGCACGCCTGTTCATCCACACAAGCAACCCTCTTCAAGACGGATCACTTTTGGATTAAACTCTTGGCACTTTATATTTTGGTAGATGCTGTCATAAATTCACACCGGTAAGCTTTAAGCGAGGTTGCGGGGCTCTGGCATAGCATAGTACTGACTGCTCCTTGCTGCTGCTAGATGGAGTCGAGATGATGGAAAAGTATAGAATGGAAATCGAAGAGGCTCAAAGGCACATATAACCAACCACCCAGGGTGCCCAAATCGGACAAGAAGCATCTCGTACGATTTCCTGAACCAAAACGCCACCTAGACCCTAGCCTTCCACTCCACCACCAAGTTCCCGGTTCTAACCCAAGATCATTCAATATCCCTGCTTGCCCACTCCAACTCCGCCCCCTTGGATATAACCCCTCTCATCGCAACATTCCCTAAATCCTCTCCTCAACACTCCTTCTCCCCACCTGCCCCGCAGCACCATGATAACTCGTATCTTCCCTCTCCCTCTCCCTCTCATCATCGTCATACGCAAACTGCTCATCCGGCACTGCATACCCTTCCCTCTCTCCTCGCTTAGGCTTCTTCTTTGCGGCAGCGGCAGCCGAAGGATTCGGATTGCTTTCCGGGCCTTCGAGAGTGAGAACGTTGTCAGGGGCGTCGAACGCGCGCTTGCTTTCCATAGTTTGCATTGCGTTATATTTCCCGCGGCGGGTGGTGGACCGGTGAGTGCGGACGTCAAGGCCAAGGGCTAGGAGGGTGGAGAGGCTGGTGGATTGTCAGTGGTCACTTCAGTTCAGTTAGGGAGGATGGGGATATGGATTGGGATAAGGAATGGGGGTGGGAAAGGGTCCATACAATCCGAGTAAAGAAAAAGCAAACAACGCTTTATAAATCCTACAGATGCTAACGCCGGTCTCATTATCCCAGTTCTTGCGATTGCAGACATGCGACAGAGTGCCTGAGCTCCACCAGCTCAACAGCGCGAAACCAAGGGTCCAGAGAATCGCGAGTACGGAGTTGAGGACTAGGTTCAGGATTGGGTTAAGGCCACAGCAGCAGTGGAGCACGATCGTGGCGGTTAGTGCGAAGATGGTTAGGAGTGAGACTGTTAGGAGCTGTGGCGGAGGCAGAGTTAGTTAGTTGGTCGGTTTTGTATCGCATGTTGTAGAATAGAGGTTGCGTTTGAACAGGGAGAAGAGGGCATGGTAAGCGTACGAGAAGGAATGTCCAGGGCAGTCGGTAGTGGTCGTGTTTGAGTTCCCACAGGAAATAGCTCATAACACTTGCGACTACTATCGAGGAAACGAGTTGTGCGGTGCGGAGGATATGGAAAGGGAGCACGGGATAGTGCGTCGGTTTGACGCGGTCTTTTCGTGTCGTCATGGTCAACACGTGCTCAAGGAGAGTTATACGGAGAATTAAACGATATAATGAAGCGAGGAAAGTAGACTATATGCCCACTGTGATGGTGTTGGGTGTCAAGGCTGCAGTTTGAAGACTGCAGATTGAAGACTGAAGCGCAAGGTGATGCGGCTGAGCTGGGCGAGGGCGATCTCTGCTTTGCCAGGATTCAGCTCGGCTTTCCAGCCTGGTATAGCGTGGCTCAGCTTCAAGCCACGGTCGCTTGCCGTCTCACTCCGCGAGCCAACAGCATTTTCGACAAAATAAGAAGCATCCTAGCGTTCTTGGAATGGTATGTTTGTGGTTAAAGTGAAAGGTTCCCACAGTGTTGGACCCAGCCTTGTCAGCCTGTCGATCCCCAGGATTTGTCCGAAAAGCAGGTCTGGATCTGTCACGTGCAATGGAATGAATCAGCCTGGTGCATCATGGTTCCCTTCACCCATGTCAAAGCTAGCTTTTGTGTGGCTGCACCCGCGGCCGTGAAATATGATTACTAAATGCCGATTCTCCTTCCGGCATTCCTTGTCTGCGGGCTGATTAGAAGGAAAGAGAAGCCGCTGCCCTTTCAACAATGACGATACCCTGAATTAAGGTGGAATTCGAGAGCCATTGGAAGTGCACCATTAAGGCGGTTCATCAGCACTAGAGCGTACTCAAAGACTGGGGAGACGAGTACGTACAAGATAAGCAAGCAACCCGACACTCGAAAGTTACGGAATCTCTACAAATTCCGAGCAAAGCCTTGGTGATTTCCTCCTCATTGAGCCATCCATCAATATGGCGTTCTCCATGGCCATGCCCTTCAACGAAGGTGAAGAGAAGATGCACAAGCTCCTTCATGTCCCCGACCACGATAACCCTACGTCAACTATGCTTACACCGCAGGCCTCATTCCTGCTACAAAGAGCACCCCTCCTCGCCATCGGAACTCTTGACTCGCAGAATCGTCCCTGGACAACCGTATGGGGTGGCCAAACTGGTTTCACGCAACCCCTGGGTGGTGGCATTGTCGGGACGCGAACTATTGTTGACGGTGAGAATGATCCTGTTGTCCAGGCCCTCGTTGGCGGCTCTGAAAAAGGGGAGATGGTTCGTGGTGACCCGAAAGGAGACGGTGTTGGGAGAATGCTAGCTGGGCTGACTATCGACCTGATGTCAAGGAAAAGAGTTAAATTAGCTGGACGTATGGTGGCAGGCAGTGTTGGCGAAGTTGATGTTGAGTTTGAAGATGGAACGGAAAAAGTGGAAGGAGCACCTGGAAGGCAAGATCAGCTGCAACTCGTAACAAAGATCGAACAGAGTCTGGGAAATTGTCCGAAATACCTGAATCAATACGAAATTCGGCCAGCGCTTGTCACCTCGAAACTACTCTCTCAATCCCAATCGCTCACACCAAACGCCAAAGCTCTCATCTCTAAAACAGACATGTTCTTCCTCTCATCCAGCACCGACGAAGACATGGACACTAACCATCGTGGTGGCCCACCCGGATTCGTCCGGATCCTCTCCGACAATGAAATCGTTTACCCCGAATACTCCGGTAACCGACTCTATCAAACACTCGGCAATCTGCAACTGAACCCTAAGGTTGGAATGGCTTTTCCAGCTTACGAAACAGGAGATGTGCTGTACCTCACCGGAGCTGCTGAGATCCTGGTCGCAGGCGATGCAGCCTCTCTTCTCCCCGGTAGCAATCTCGCGCTAAAAATCACAATTAATGAGGCAAGACATGTAGAATCTGGGCTCCCGTTCCGCGGAACAAGGAAGATACCGTCCCCATACAACCCGCTTCTCCGCGTGCTAGCCACAGAAGGAAGCATCAAATCCTTAATTTCCGGCTCCACATCTCGCACACATGCCACCCTAATTAAAAGGACAAATATCACTCCGCAAATATCCCGCTTTACGTTTGCGGTCCCCAACGGAGTCGAATACTCACCGGGCCAATGGGCGGCATTTGACTTTTCCAAAGATATAGATATCGGGTACTCACATATGCGAGATGATGATCCACGGAGCTTAAATGACGACTTTATCCGGACGTTTACCATTTCTTCCGTGCCAGGGACTACAGCAAACCAAAAGGAATTCGACATCACGATACGGAAAGTGGGACCCGTGACAAATTACCTATTCCAGCAGAACGATCGTGCGGGTTTCGAAGTCCCGCTTGTTGGTATTGGTGGTGAGTTTAGGATTGAACAGGGAGATGAGAAGATGATACCTTTCGTAGCAGGCGGCGTGGGGATTACGCCGCTGCTTGGACAACTTCCGGGTCTGAGGTTGTTATCAGATAGGTTTCGTTTGCTGTGGGCAGCGAGGTTGGCGGATGTTCATCTCGTCGTTGACACGCTGCAGCGATTTCCGGACTTGGCGAAATGCACGGAGGTGTACCTCACAAGTACCAACGATCCAGATGACGCTGAAGGGAGGTTGTCAGAGCTCCGAGACAAAGGCGTCAAGGTGGAGATGAGGCGATTGGAGAAGCGAGATTTAGACGCCGTGGAGTCTAAAACGTGGTATATCTGCGCTGCCAAGGGCCTGCGCGTTACTCTCTTGTCTTGGTTGGAGGGCAAGAAGACGATTTTTGAAAACTTTGATTATTAGGGCAATGCATATGGAAGAGTCATGATCAGTATCTCTGTATTTTGGTTCATGTTTGTACTTTTGCATCATCTCTAATTTAGATGGGCGTCTGATCTATTTAGTTTTCCTTCTAGGCAAGTGTTACGAAGGATGATTTGATAAGAATCCTGGACGTAACTACCATCTTTCACAAGCTATCTCCTGGTATGAACAAGAACGCCCAGGAGTTAAGCAAGTCTATATAGAACAATAACAACCTTAGCTATAAAGGCTATCAGAACCTAGATGCATATCTAGCATTTACCTACTAATATTCTTGTCTGTACATAAGTACGGTTGCGTCTGCACATGCGTACAGCTGAATTAATGCCTGAAACAGTTAGCTATCTAGCCTGTGCGTTAGGGGCTATGTGTACTTAACAGCCCTCTTTCTTTATACAAAGAGAGAGGGTAGTAGTTAATTATAAGAAGATCTTTGCCTGCTCACCCCTGTTACAGGCTGTACGCTTAGCGTACAGCTGTCTATCCACCTACCGCGTGCGTAGCCACGCAGAGAAGGGGCCTACTACTAGATGCATAGCCATCTAGAGGAGTGAGCTAACTAACACTAATTAGTTCTGTTAACTAGCAGACTTTTACTGTGTGTGTAGCTACGCAGAGGAAACATCTTTCTAAGATAATAGATTAGCAAGGTGGCTATAGCTGCTAGTACAAGAGCTAGCCAGCTAGCTGCAGTATCTATCTACCGCGTGCGTAGCCACGCAGAGGAGGCATCTACTGCGACTGGTAGCTGTCGTCTGCCCTGGAGTTAACTGCTGTACAAGAGCTAGCTAACTAGCTGCAGTACCTATCTACCGCGTGCGTAGCCACGCAGAGAAGGGACCCACTACCAGATGCGTAGCCATCTAGAGGAGTGAGCCAACTGACATTACTTAATTTTAGTATTATAAACACTTCTAACGCTATATTTCTTCTATGAAGCTAGTTAGCGCTAGAATAGTTGAAAAAAAGCGTAGATTTAATTTTTAAATAAGTTGTAGTAACGTTAGCTTTATTTTTATAAAGTTTTTTTTTCTTAGTAGTATTAGCTTTTTAGTGGCGAAAAAGTGTACACAAACTTTTGCGTTCGTGCTGTACCTTGTGCTGTAAATAGTTCTTCTAGAGTTAAAGAGCCTTTAATTGTCACTTTCTAGTAAACGTTGAATGTTAGTTACTCTACTACTATCCGCGCTAAAACGCCTCTCGCACTCGTAACTAGTAGCTAGGATAGTACGGAAATTACTAGAGACAGATTACCTTGCCCTGCTCCTTTAGGAGCGTTAAATCCGCACCATGAGCCCACACATTTAACAGCGTACAATTGCCTTTCAACGCAGTCCTTGCGAAAGTTTCGGCTAATCAGAGCCCTAGAAACCCCCTGAACGCTCCCTACAGGCCTACTGCTCGTCAGAGCCCTCCTATGCCTCCAGGATCGCTATACGCACTTCCTAAAAGGGTAACACAATCCGTACTACGTACTGTGCCTAGGTCATCATGAAATGCACGGTGCGGCTCACGAACTTAGTAGGTTCACTTTGTATGGACTGTAGCACGGCTGATGCAAGCCATGCCGGCTACTGTGCCCTAGTAAAATGAATCTGTTCGTTCACTACTGACGGTGCGAGGTGCAGTCGCCGTTGAAAGAGTAATGCGAATATTGATGCTCCGCGTAATTGTCTGCAGTTGGTTAGCGAAGTGCTGATGTGGTGCCAGGACCTAAAGTCGGTTTCATCAACGATTAATATATACAGTAGTGTCCTAATTACTTGTCTACTATGCAGGCTACATGCCAGATGCGATTACAATAGACTCCAGGTGTGCCATGATTCATGGATACCTGCTCAGGTCTTCATTCAGACGCTACTAAGAAACAGACATATTTATACCCCAAATAACAATAGCAGGATGGAAGAAAATATAGAACGAATGTCAAGTCCAAGAAAAAGAGGTTAGAACAAATGAGAGTACGCTTCATAGCAAGCGTTCTAATACAGTTTCCGTTGCGCTGAGTTGGTCATCCATCCCTTCAAGTGCATGCTGGTAAGAACGATTTGCATGAAGCAAGGGGTGCCTGTAGGTTGTTTGAAAGCGTTTTGACTGCTTCGACTAGCATATCAAGTAGCGGATCCGCCATTTCGGCTGCTAAGATGTGAGTGTTCCCAGCGATCATAATCTTGAGCTTGTTGCCTTGTGGTTGCGACCAGACACTCAGATAAGACGGCACTGTAAAGGGATTGTTAAACCATTGAACCTTCGTAGTTTCTCCTGCGATATGTATTTCGAACTCCGCATCAATGTTCTGGTGCTGAAACACCGAGTCCAACGGGGATCCAGCGGGCCAGTTTGTACATTGTTGCATAATTTCATCCCACCCCATTGAGTCTGATTGTCCGAGTGAGACGTATTGCTCTTGGACAGAGCGGATAAGGTCTTCGGATGTTTTCGTGGAAGGTGTAAAAGCCCTGACCGGAACTACGTTCAAGCAAGGCCCGACTATTTCTGTAACACCAGAAATATCCGAATTGCGGCCCGCAATCACATGTCCATACACAACGTCTTCTTCCCCAGTGACGATAGAGAGGACCACAGCCCAGGCGGAACTAACAAGAGAGGCCATTGTAAGGTGCTCAGGAAGACGAGGGGCGTATATGGATCTCTCGGCTCTAACAACACGAGGGGTAGTCTCTTCTGGCATCTTGGGACAAAGCTTCGTAGTAGCCCTGGTGAGGTGTGAGCCCTGGAGGAGTTCTTGCCAGTAACGGCCTGATGTAGTCTGTTGGTAACGAGCGTGCGCAAGATAAGTCTGAAAGCCAATAGCAGGACGCAGAGGCTTTTGCTGGTAGATAGAGACAAGTGTTCCCAATATGATTGGAAGACAAACACCATCATACTGAGCATGGGAAAGGCGAATAATTAATCGATTCTCCTTGGAACTGTTACGCACGAGAATGAAAGAAGTTGGAAGTCCAAGTGGATGGCATTGTTCCATATCTCGCATGAAGATCATTTGCGATTCTTGCGGTATCGGTCCTTTGACGTTGAACATGGTGAAAGGTGATCCAACATCGCGGAGAATAGCCTGCCAAAGTTTTCCTTGAGAGTGAGCAAACTGAGTGCGGAAAATTGGGAAGTGGTCGATAAGTTTAAGACAACTGTGTCTGAGGAGGTCCACATCAAGCTGCGGTCCTATGTCGAGAAAAAGGTAGTTGAATGCCACACGAGGATTGTCAATCCCTTGAGTGATAAATGTTTGTTGTGAGTAGGTAGCAGGAAGAATGTCAACTACGTTTTCGGGTTGTATTCCTGTGCTGAAAACATTGGACTTGGAAAGAATATCCTCTTTGATATGAGCCGGAATCAGGGAAAATGGAGGTATGAATTGCACCCCATGATTAGAAGCCCGACAGATGCGAACCAGTTGCGACAAATTGGGTTGTCGGAACACATCTGCGATAGTGAGTCGAATTCCATCTTGACTCGCTTCGCCGACAAGCTTCATGGCTGCGATTGAGTCGCCACCAAGGCGGAAGAAGCTATCATCCAGTCCGATGCTCTCCGGCTCAATGTTTAGTACGCGGGCCCACAGCTGCTGCATTGTCCTCTCTGCGGCCGACATATGCTGCTGTTCCACAGGCCCTTAGCAGACCGCCTCTCTTTGTTGTCGCTGCTTAAGAGTTTTGCGGTTGACTTTGCCATTCTAGTTGACTGGCATTGTGTCAAGGATAGTGATTGTCTGGGGAACCATGTAAGCCGGAAGCTGGCATTGGAGCATCTCGTGCAACTGCTGTTCGGTATTCCGTAGGAACTGGTGCTGCAACAGCTTGCTGCTAAGACTGTGCAGTGGACGATCCGCGTGATTGGTAGGGAACCGGAACAGCACCTGTCCTTCTCCATGCTCTTTCTTATGGTGATAGAAGATAGCGTCTAAACCGCCCTTCTAGGAGTACTGCCTACTCTAGCTAATCTTAACCTAGTAACCTACTTTCTAGGCAACTTTAACTAAGTCTATAGTAGAAAGTAATAAGATATTCTGTGCTTTATAACAAACAGAGAAGATCTAGTCCTGCTAAGTAAGTAATTCTGTTGCTGCATTACCTAGCGCATTAATAAAGTAGCAACTTAAAATAGTCTTACTGTGTAGGATGTTACTTACAGCTATAATAAGTGCACTAAAGGTGCTCTTTAGTTGCTATAATAGAGACTTATAATCTATCTAGCGCTTTATAAAGTTAATCTACCTGTCTTGCTAAATGTGTTAAACTTCCTGCTCCTGCTAGCCTTA